GGTTGTGTTGGGCAACAGGGTTATCTTCACAACAGTCTAGTAACTGCAGAATACCCAAGGCTGGACACTGCAGCTCCTCAATCTGATGCTGAATGCCTGAGGGATTCCTGGGGAGCCCCTGGTCCTTAGTAGGCTGAAAGGAGGCTGAAGTTGTATTCTGATGGCAGCCAAGGCTGCATCTGCTGCAGCAATGGTAGGGGAAGCACACTCACCAGCAGAGTGAAAGGCAGGCAAGCAAGCTCATCGCTTTTCTCTCTGACCTCTTTTTAGCTGAGCTGCTGCTGGAAGTGCTGCTCCCTCTAGGGGAGGTGAGGGCTCTTCTCTCCATTGGTCCTACCTGTAAATCCCTCAAGACTTGCTCACAGTCATCTTTTAGTTCGTCACAAGTTTAAGCAAGTTGACAAGATTTACCATCCCCCAAACCAAAAGATATGATTTTTTTAAAAAAAAATAGGAGTGTGGCTTTTTTGTTTCTTTGTCTCAAATTGTTGGGAATAAGGGAGAGCTGGAATCTCACATCACAGAGGACAGAATTTAGGGATGACTGTCTTGATCATGATGTCACAACTTTCCAAGCAGATTATACTTACTCCCCCCTGCTCTCCTCCAAGTTTCAGTTCAATTCTGCAGTTTTTGTGGAAAATCCAATACTAATTGATATTTTCACATGACCCTGTATATTATGCAATAAAACTGCTTGTCAAAGGTTTTTACCACTGCCTGGGTGATAGATGGGATTGTTAGCTAGGAAATGCACTGTCCATGGCAGAAGATCAATTATCCTGTGTATAATTTTCTTAGCCACCTTGAAACTAGACTGTGGTGGTTTTTACAGACCACCTGATATACAACACATGTGAGCTAGGGTTCAAATTTAGTAGTAGTGCAGGATAGTTTTATGTCAACTTGACACAAGCTAGAATCATCAGAAAGGAAAATTCAATTGAGAAAATGTCTCCATAAGATCTGCATATAAGACATTTTCTTAACTATTGATTGACAGGGCATAGACCAGCCATTGTAGGTGGTACCATCCCAGGGGTGGTGGTCCTGGGTTATAAGAAAGCCTTGAGGAGCAAGCTGAGCAAGACACAAGGAGCAAGCCAGTAAGCAGCAGCCCTCCATGGACTCTGTATTAGCTCCTGCCTTCAGGTCCCTGCCCTGACTTTTCTCAGTGGTGCGCTGTTATGTGGAATTGTAAACTGAAATAAACCCTTTCACCCCAAGTTGCTGTTGTCATGGTGCTTCATCACAATAGTAACCCCAACTAGGATAGTAGTGAAGGACTCATAGAGAATGGCTTTATCACTCTATGTACATTTCCAATCTAGTTCATGATTTAAACACTTAAGATAGCTAGAGTGTGGAGAGAGCATTGTTTCCAGAGGAAGTTTAGCATGTGAATCAATGAAATGCTAACAATGACTGAATTGCTCAAACAGCAGAAAACAGTGTTAATGATGATGAACTGTTGGGCCCAATAGTTGTTTGGTTGTGAAGAGTTTACTTAGCATGTGTGCTTCAGTTTCCTTGTTTTTAAATTGATTATTGGTACTTACTTTAAAGGTTTTTTTGAGAGATTAAAGCACATATTAAGTTCACAAACTCATTGGCACAAAATACCATGTGAGGGCATTGTAATAATATTTGCAATTATATACAAGTAGTCATTAATGTCATGTGCCCCTAGTTAATGGGTTATCTGTGAACTAAATTATGTATATAACTATTCACAATCTTATTGAGGAATAATTACTTTTACTGATAATTAAGTTACATCTAGGATGTTACTGTCACTTACAGTACTACTGTTACTATAAGTGACATTCACATAATGAATTCGTCGTTGGCAATTTATGAAATTATACTTTAATTAAAACACTTTCTTATGTGATACATCCAGGCCTTCTGTGAAAGAAGATTTGAGAGAGCTTTTTGGGTCATGCCTGAGAAATTCACTAAAAGTCTCAGTTTCTTAAGGCATGTTTGCCATCCCACCAACCATATTCATGATTTTTTAAATAACACAGGAGTGTGGCATTTTTGTTGCCTTGTCTCGAGGGGCTGGAAATGAAGGAGAGCTCGAATCTCAGGTCACTGTATTTAGTGCCAATGAAACAAGTGTGATAACAACCTGACCAAGTGGAGCTTGACAGGAAGAAAACACCTGCCTGGTGTTAATAAGATGCATGGGTTTCAGACAACCGAAAACCAAAGAAAATTACCACTATGTCTGTCTTGATAAAATACCAACAGAGCTGTCATTTATTTCATTGGACTCAAAAGTTTATTTGAATTCTTATGATATGTGAGTGAAAAAAAAATCAAAGGAATTTGGACTTAGGCCAGCTACTTCATTTCTAAATATTGTCAAATCTTTGTTAATACTAGCTAGTGTTTTCAGGTTCAGTGAAAGATCAAGAAAAGCAAAGAGACCTGTTTTATTTTTCTATATGTTTATTAGGAGGAGAAGTGTAATCAATGGACAAACTTCTATTACCTTAGTAAGCTTTAAGTATATTTGGCTTTGGTTTAGATATATTCAAACATCTTTTTTTTCCACGCAAAGGTCCCAGAAGCTAAGGAAAATGTTGCAATTTTCTATCAGCTGTTATTTTTGGTACAAATTAAAATCTTTAAAGAATCAAAAGCATTATGAAAGAAAAAACTTAGCTTCATTTTCTGTGAAATATGAACACCTATCTCCCAACAAATTGAGAGCATCCAGTTAAAATATATTCTTGTATTTCTTGCAAAATTTGGGCAAGATTTGTCAAGTCCAATATCATGAGCACTACATTTTCTAGGAAAAATGGTATCATCGGTGTTTTCATGTCCTTGCTTATGTGAATTTTTAATGTATAAAAGACATACTAAGCCTTGAAGCCACCTTTCCTGGCTTATTAGCCTATTTCCACCTGAGGGGATGCCCTTTTCTTTTATAATACATGGTTTCTAGTTCTAGTAATAAAAATAACAACAACAATAATAATCACAACTGGCTATTTTGTTAGACTTTCTATTTCTAATAGGTATATATGCACATAATTTTAGAAAGAAAATAATGTCTTTTTTACTTAAAATTAATAAACAGTGGTTATTATTCACATATAATCAAATTTCATTGACTATAATGACTTGATGAAAAGAAAGTGTGGATAACTGAAATCCATGACACTGCAAATTGTAATTTGATTTCTATCCTCATCCAACAATTGATTAGAACTGCGCACTAGCAAACTGAAGAGACATGAGTTTTTATTCCTTCCACCCTTAAAAGATTTAAACAATCTAAATCACTTAGGAATAATACTCCAAAGTGTGTGTGTGTGTGTGTGTGTGTGTGTGTGTGTGTGTGTGTGTGTGTGTGATAGCTTGTTACTTAGGTTTGATTAGTGTGTGCATGTATTTGAGTATGTGTGTATATTCATGAGTGCCGTGTGTCTTTGGTATATGAGCAAGTGTGTGGCTAGGAGCATGTGGAAGCCATAGGAGAATGTGGGTGTCCTCTTTTGTCATTCTCACCTTACTTCTTTGAGGCACAGACTCTGTCCCTGAACCTGGATCTCACAGTTTGTCAGCTAAGCTACAAGTCTGAGCAAGCTCCAGTAATGTGGATAGTGGGATCTAACTTTGTTCCTTATGCTACAGCAAGTGTTCTTGTCCACTGAGCCATCTCTCCAGCTCCAGCTGTTTTTATTTTGAGGCCAGACCTCACATATCACAGGCTTCCCTGGAACTTGCTTTGTAACTAGTGATGACCTTGAATTTTTTTTTCCCTTTTGTTGGTTTTTCAAGACAAGGGTTCTCTTTGTAGCTTTGGAGTCTGTCGTGGAACTCACTGTAGACCAGGCCAGCCTCAAACTCACAGAGATCTGCCTATCTCTAATCCCAAGTGCTGGGATTAAAGGTATGCACCACCACCACCAAAACGACCTTGAATTTGTGATATTCCTGTATCTACCTCCCCAATGCTGTGATTGCAAACACGCATCATACGACTGGTTTATACTGTGCTGAGAATTGAAGCCAGAGCTTCAAGGATGATAGACAAACATTAGCAACTGAGCTACGTTCCCAGTCCTGACATTTTATATTGGCAAATATTTGAAAGCAGATTGTCATTTATAATTTCACTATATTTTTTTTTGCAGAAAGGAAATCCTATTCAATAACAAAGTCTCAGCACTATCATGTTACCAATTACTAAATTGGCATCAAATATCAGGGTCTAAAGAAAATACAGATCATTTTCCCTAAAAAAAAAAAATTAGATTCTGGAATGTTAAAGTTGTTTTGAGTGGTGTTTGTTTTTATGTACAGGTATGTATGTAAGGGCAATGGGACAGCTTCAGGAACAGTTTCTCAGAAGCCATTCAGCCTGATTTTGAGACAGGTTCTCATTGTCTTGAAATTTGCCTAGTAGGTTAGGCTGACTTAAACTGTGTGTCCCAGGGATGGGATCTACCTGTCTTCATCTCCCCTATACCCGTGTTCTTTGCATGGCTTCTGGGAATCAAACTCAGGCCTTCCTACTTCTGTGCAAACTCTTTTTAAATGAGTCATTTGCCCATCCCCTTAATCTTTGTGGAATGTATTGTGTTACCCTGAAAAAGACTGTGACCTTTTGTTCCCTTGTGTCCTCATCATTCATTTACTGTTTCTAACCTTTAATCTTTCTCTTCATTTTCGTCACACCCTCAACACACCAGTCTTCAATGTTCCTACTGTTCCTGTACTTGTATATCTGATCATTCACAGTCCAACATGAGGTATATCCCTCTCAGGAAGTCCTCAAGCCATGGCTGTTCTTAAGGGAAACAGTATTTACATGGACAGAATGCTCTGTTTTATTTGCATCCATCGATTTATACAGACTAAAGAAAACACATTTTCAAGTAAATATTGCAAACTTGAAAGACATGTTCTTTTCTAAATGATAACATGGTAATTTGGATTTTATGACATAGAAGTGTTTGATTTCTGGTTTGTTCTTTAAGGTGAATTTGGGGAAGTCTGCAGTGGGCGTTTGAAGACACCAGGGAAAAGAGAGATCCCAGTTGCCATTAAAACACTGAAGGGTGGTCACGTGGATCGACAAAGAAGAGATTTTCTGAGAGAAGCCAGCATCATGGGTCAGTTTGACCATCCCAACATCATTCGCCTAGAAGGTGTCGTCACCAAAAGTAAGTTCTGGACTTTCCTCCTTACTTCTCACATACTACTTTTAGTTTTTCTTAACTCATAATAACAGTACCATAGTTGTGAAGACAGCTTCATTCAGATGCTGTCTCCTGACCTAGCTTCTCAGTGTCCTGCCATGAGGCCCTGACATTACCAGAGCTGGCTGAGGTTACCACAGAGCTTTGGAATGGCATTACCTGTAAACTTTGTTCATTTATCTTAGCATAATGACTCAAAAGAAATGGATTATATTTCTCTAAATGTCAATATTAATAGAAGACATACCATCACTATTTAATTCATTAAAGTAAAATACTACTGCCTAGAAATACATTTCATAGACAAATGTAGAATGCTTTATCATAGGGTAAAACATTTCCAGAAAAAAATTCTATATGGAAGTCAGCTCTATTAATAGCACTATTAATAAATTATTATAGTTGATATAAAGTAAAGTAAAAGATAAGTGCTGCAATAGCAGTCCTGCTGTTACAAAAATAATGGAATCAAGGTCATTCTTTTGAAAATATTATTTTAAAATACAAAATTATTCATATACTTTAAGAAATTGGCTGCATATATTTGAACAATGATATAGGCAAAAATGTAATAATATTTCTCTGGTTTTGTTCACTAATGCATTAAATATAAAAGCTAATACAAAATAGCATTACATTTTTCATGAGAATTGCTCAGATATTTGAAAATATTTTTATTAACAGCATAAAAGTTCTTTAACAACCACTGAAGACAAGACTGGTGTCTGGAGAGATGGCTAAGTGGTTAAGAGCAGCTCTTATTCTTGCAGAAGACCTGGCCTGGGTTTTCAGAACCTACTGCCAAGTCCCAACTATATGTAATTCCAGTTCCAGTAGATTTGTTGATCTCTTCATGCCACCACAGGCTCTTGTAGACATGTGGTGCATAAAAACTCATACACGCATACACACACACACACAAATAATCAGATGAATAAATAAACATTTTCAAACCATTTAAGAAAAGTTGAAATTTTATGTTATGGTTAGAAATAAGCAAATAGGATAGCTTACTGAAAGCATGTGCTCAACTCTACGTCTGAAATTAATACATTCCTTGCACATGGCATTGGAAAAATGCCGCTCAAGGGAGCAGATTACTTGTAGCCTCAAGAGTTAAGAAAGCAGAGATAAGTACTAAAGATGATAAGCATTATGGTGGACATTTATTCTAGTGATTTTTAATAGGCTTTCAATATTCACCCATGAGTAATTCTCCCCTACAATTGCACTGAACTCATCCGTGTGCCCAAACTTGGCCAAAGGGACATTAGCAAGTGTAAGGTACATGGTGATTTATGTATTTGTTGATGTTTGTAATCGAGAAATTTTCTTCCTGACACCCAACTTCCATGTTGAGTAAAACAATCTATGCAATGTTGCAAAAAGAAGTCCAGCAAGGTGACTCAATAGGTAGGAGGGCTTGCACATAGACTAAGTTATCTGACAAGGTGCCAGGAGAAAACTGCCTCTTACAGTTTTCCTCTGACCTCAACACCTATGTTGTGACACTCACATCTCCCTTTCATACACACACACACACACACACACACACACACACACACAATGAGTTAGATAAATGCACACCTTTTTAAAAGCAGGGAGTCAAGATACTTTAGTCAATAGTTCCATCCAAAGTGCTAGACAGTACTGAATACCAGGCTTGTGAGTGGACCATCTTAGACAGTACAACCCATCCCATCCCACCCTGCTCAGACACCTGCAGCTATGGCCATTTGTGAGGAAAAGAAACCCAATCAGCTCAATCTGGTCAACCTAATAAGTGATAAGAGAGGGGTTTTGTTTAATAATTTTATATTTGTATTGATTCTTTTAAGAGTTTCATACAATATATTTTAATTATATTTATCTTCCCACTTCTCCCTCTAACTACTCTGAGATCTATTCCAAGTTAGTGTGTCCTTTCTTTTTTTTAAAATTCCATCAGGTTAAATTTGTGGTTATCCCACATATTTCTGGTAGTGGGACCACCCACTGGTATACTGTAATGTACAGGGGCTCCATATATAAAGAAAAGTGACTCTTCCTCTCACAAAAGTCAAAATGTCTGTAGCTCCTCAGGTAGGGGTAGAGGCTTGTGAGCTCCTTCCCCTTCCATACTAGAAAGTTAATTGGTTTAATCTTGTTCAAGTCTTGTGCAGACACAGTCGCTGTGAGTACATAAGTTCAGCTGTCCTATTAGACACAGAAAGCATTGTTTCACTCTGGTTCACCATGATCTTTGGCTGTTATAGTCTTTCTACTCCCCTTTCTGTCATGGTCTATGAGCCCTGAGGGATGGAAGAGACAACCCACTCCATTGACACTTATTCTTTCACTTTGAACTCCCATCTACTAAAGATAAAGATACCTCTCTGATGAAGTCCAAGAGCTCTATGATCTATGAATAGATAGAAACATGTTCATGTGCACTAGTTTTACAAATGTTATGAAGGAACCAACCACTTTCTAGTTGGATTTAAGTCCTGCTCCCCAGGAGGAAATGCATTCTTGAAACCTACAAATCTGATTAAGAACCCATGGTTTGTGTTAGTTCTTCATCCCTAGAGATGTTAGGGATGAACCTTTGCAATTATTCTGCTAAATGCACATGGTATCCAACTGCCTCAAAAAATTCATGTAAAATTGTTTTTTAAGTTATTATTTTAAATTCATTATTTCACAGCAATAAATGATAAATAAATGATACATAAATGAAGGAGTGAATCATTATTGGATTTCTGTTCTTGCTAGTTAAGATTTATGGACACTGGATAAATTATTTAACATCTCTATCGAACTTTCATGTCTGTAAAACAAGACTAAATTAACCATGATAACAGGTGGCTCTGTTGCACAATGGATAGTGCATTGGACTTCTAAATTAACAGTGATATAACTGATTGGAGTACCTCAGTTGCTTTTTTTCAAGACTACAAAGGATTTCTATACAAATTAAATCTATACATGTATACTGCATTTGGCATCATCTGTTGACTTCCTCTCATTAGCTTTACCACTTCAAATTATTCCTCTGTTTTTATATTGCCATTTATATGGCAGGCAAAATTTAATTTTGAAAAGGGTTACAAACTAAGTTTGATGCCAAAGTTCTCTTGGAAGGGTTTACACATAGAACATCTAGAAATACACGACCAGGAATAAACTCAAATATTGAAAAGTAAGAGATCTTTCTTTTCTTCCTTTAATAAATCAAATCATATGTCTTTTCATCCATATTATGATTTCATCCATTTATTACCAAATATCATGTATATTTAAATTAGGATTTATTAAAAGAAAGATCTATGGCTCTAGAGAATGGGGAAATTAATTCTATATCCTAAGTCAAATAAATGGGTTTACTGAGATCATTGGTGGTGTACTTTGCTGTCAGATTGAATGTTTATTTCACATAAACACCCAAACAAACAGCACAGAGATTATGTCTTTAACAATTTTATCTGAAAACCAGACAGGTGACCTCTGTTTAGACAAATTTGTGTGATTCGAATACCAGTATTACAGTTTGATTCTTAAGAAAAATAATAAGGAAAAGATATTCTCATATCTGTTAAAAGAAACTGAGAAAAGATAGCTTCAGTGCATTCTTGATGACAATCAGCACTACAGTTTGAACAGCCAAGAGTGAGCCTCATAGGGGAGTACTGAAGTGGTGTAGTGAACATAGTGGGTAGGAGAGAAAGGCAATTCCGGCAATAATCAGTGAGCCTGTTTATACTGTTATCAGCTTGAGTCAAGTGCTATGGGATTGTTAGAAGAAAAGCAATAAATAAATGAATACCTCATTCCCATAAATACATGGTAATTGTTCCAAGATTGCCCTTAAGTAGCTAAGAGATAGCTAGCAATTAATGTTCCCTAAAGACACCCCCACTGCATAAAAGATGATACTGATGAAGATAATGATGCAGTACAAGGGCCTGATTGTAGACTTTCCTGGGGTCTGGGAAACAAATACTCCATTAAAATTGATGTAAGATTATAGATAAAAATCTTCTGAACATCCTTCCATAAGTTGTTACTTAATATGAGCACTTTTTTGTCTTACAGCATTTTCTCTTAGAAACATGTATTGTACAGTTCTTTGAGTCACTTCTGACCCTTCATATGTGCACATATATCTGCTTTGATTTTAAACGTGAAAGCTAAATGATTTAAAAAACTGCATTATACACAAAAAACTATAACTTAAAAGAGATGAGCCTACTTATATGATGCTTATATAATATATGATGCTTATAAGATACTTATATAACAACTTTTATTAGCCTGGTAAGATACAACTAATAGAAACAGATTAATCAGTTATAGCCATATGCTCAAGACATACTATTTCTCCAGGAACAAATAAAAGCCATCAGTTGGAGGGCAGACTTGTAATCATTAGTAGCAGAGGTAGTCACAATAAGCAACTGATAGTTATCAGTGACAGTAACTACACCACCAAGAGGCAAAAAGCCACCTTTCTATAAGAAGATAAGTGGTGAAGAAATATAGTGCAGTAACTGTGAGACAAGCAACATTGTCTATCTTCCAGTCAAGTAAAAAGCACATTTCCAAGCACTTAACTATATTGCCTAAATAACAAACTCAGTAAAGTGGAATAGAAGTCATTTCCAGCAGCAAACAAATTCCCAAAGATAATTCCATGTCATCTCAAGACATTCTTTAAAGAGTCCATGACTCACTAATGAAGCTATAATGGAATCTTTAGAGTTGCTCAAAACCCTTGTATGTTCAGGAATATTACAAATTACTCCCAGGGAGTTTTTGTGAGTAGATATAAAACCCATCTAAAAGAGTAAATTTTATTGACATGTGAAACAAGCTTGTTCCTAATTTGAAATAAAAAAAATTAATTACAAAAAAAGTAAATTTTTTTCAGTCAAAAAATTGCAGTACATATATAAAAACATGCTTCCTTGTCCTAGGATTCAATT